CAATATGCTCTCTCATGTAAAATACAGAAATTCTAATTTTACCCGATTTGAAAAAATCTAAATATTATCTAGGCACCCCAATGTTAAAAGCAAAATGCTCTGAATATAATCTGTCAGAAAAAATATACAATGCCCTTTTCTACTCTGTTTTGGAGTATATACACCAACTCAATATGCTCTCTCATGTAAAATACCGAAATTCTAATTTTAGGCAAATTGAAAAAAATCTAAATATTATCTAGGCACCCCAATATAAAATGCAAAATTTCTCTGAATATAATCTGTCAGAAAAAATATACAATGACATTTTCTACTCTGTTTTGGAGTATATACACCAACTCAATATGCTCTCTCATGTAAAATACCGAAATTCTAATTTTACGCGAATCGAAAAAATCTAAATATTATCTAGGCACCCCAATGTTAAAAGAAAATTGCTCTGAATATAATCTGTCAGAAAAAATATACAATGCCTTATTCTACTCTGTTTTGGAGTATATACACCAACTCATATGCTCTCTCATGTAAAATACAGAAATTCTAATTTTACGCGAATCGAAAAAATCTAAATATTATCTAGGCACCCCAATGTTAAAAGAAAATTGCTCTGAATATAATCTGTCAGAAAAAATATACAATGCCCTTTCTACTCTGTTTTGGAGTATATACACCAACTCAATATGCTCTCTCATGTAAAATACAGAAATTCTAATTTACGCGAATCGAAAAAATCTAAATATTATCTAGGCACCCCAATGTTAAAAGCAAAATTGCTCTGAATATAATCTGTCAGAAAAAATATACAATGCCTTATTCTACTCTGTTTTGGAGTATATACACCAACTCACTATGCTCTCTAATGTAAATACAGAAATTCTAATTTTACGTGAATCGAAAAAATCTAAATATTATCTAGGCAACCCAATGTTAAAAGCAAAATTGCTCTGAATATAATCTGTCAGAAAAAATATACAATGCCCTTTTCTACTCTGTTTTGTAGTATATTCACCAACTCAATCTAGCTCTCTCATGTAAAATACTGAATTCTAATTGTACAGCGAATCGAAAAAATCTAAATAATATCTAGGTCGCCCTAAAGTAAAAGAAAATGGCTCTGAATATAGTCTGTAGAAAAAATTACATAGCCTTATTCTACTCTGTTTTGGAGTATATACACCAACTCATATGCTCTCTCATGTAAATACCGAAATTCTAATTTACCGAATCGAAAAAATCTAAATATTATTAGACACCCAATGTTAAAACAAAATTGCTCTGAATATAATCTGTCAGAAAAAATATACAATGCCCTTTCTACTCTGTTTTGGAGTATATACACCAACTCAATATGCTCTCTCATGTAAAATACAGAAATTCTAATTTACGCGAATCGAAAAAATCTAAATATTATCTAGGCACCCCAATGTTAAAAGAAAATTGCTCTGAATATAATCTGTCAGAAAAAATATACAATGCCCTTTTCTACTCTGTTTTGGAGTATATACACCAACTCATATGCTCTCTCATGTAAAATACAAAATTCTAATTTTACAAAAAATCTAAATATTATCTAGGCACAAAATTGCTCTGAATATAATCTGTCAGAAAAATATACAATGCCTATTCTACTCTGTTTTGGAGTATATACACCAACTCAATATGCTCTCTCATGTAAAATACCAAATTCTAATATTACGTGAATCGAAAAAATCTAAATATTATCTAGGCACCCCAATGTGAAAAGTAAAATTGCTCTGAATATAATCTGTCAGAAAAAAAATACAATGCCTTTTCTACTCTGTTTTGGAGTATATACACCAACTCAATATGCTCTCTCATGTAAAATACAGAAATTCTAATTTACGCGAATCGAAAAAAATCTAAATATTATCTAGGCACCCCAATGTTAAAAGCAAAATTGCTCTGAATATAATCTGTCAGAAAAAATATACAATGCCCTATTCTACTCTGTTTTGGAGTATATACACCAACTCAATATGCTCTCTCATGTAAAATACCGAAATTCTAATTTTACGCGAATCGAAAAAAATCTAAATATTATCTAGGCACCCCAATGTTAAAAGTTGCTCTGAATATAATCTGTCAGAAAAATATACAATGCCTTTTTCTACTCTGTTTTGGAGTATATACACCAACTCAATATGCTCTCTCATGTAAAATACCGAAATTCTAATTTACGCGAATCGAAAAAAATCTAAATATTATCTAGGCACCCCAATGTTAAAAGAAAATTGCTCTGAATATAATCTGTCAGAAAAAATATACAATGCCCTTTTCTACTCTGTTTTGGAGTATATACACCAACTCAATATGCTCTCTCATGTAAAATACCGAAATTCTAATTTTACGCGAATCGAAAAAATCTAAATATTATCTAGGCACCCCAATGTTAAAAGCAAAATTGCTCTGAATATAATCTGTCAGAAAAAATATACAATGCCCTTTCTACTCTGTTTTGGAGTATATACACCAACTCAATATGCTCTCTCATGTAAAATACAGAAATTCTAATTTTACGCGAATCGAAAAAATCTAAATATTATCTAGGCACCCCAATGTTAAAAGCAAAATTGCTCTGAATATAATCTGTCAGAAAAAATATACAATGCCCTTTTCTACTCTGTTTTGGAGTATATACACCAACTCAATATGCTCTCTCATGTAAAATACCGAAATTCTAAATTTACGCGAATCGAAAAAATCTAAATATTACCTAGGCACCCCAATGTTGAAAGCAAAATTGCTCTGAATATAGTCTGTCATAAAAAATATACAATACCCTTTTCTACTACGTTTTGGAGTATATACACAAACCCAATATGCTCTCTCATATAAAATACCGAAATTCTTATTATACGCGAATTAAAAAAAATCTAAATATCATCTAGACACCCCAATATTGAAAGAAAATGGCTCTGATTATAATCTGTCAGAAAAAATATACAATGCCCTTTTCTCCTCGGTTTTGGAGTATATGGACCAACTCAATATGCTCTCTCATGTAAAATACCGAGATTCTAAATTTACGTTAATCAAATGAAATCTAAATATTATCTAGGCACCCCAATGGTAATAGCAAAATTGCTCTGCATGTATTCGTCAGATAAAATATACAATGCCCTTTTCTACTCTGTTTTGGAATATATACACCAACTCAATATGCTCTCTCATGTAAATACCGAAATTCTAATTTACGCAATCGGTAAAAAATCTAAATATTATCTAGGCACCCCAATGTTAAAAGGAAATTGTTCTAAATATAATCTGTCAGAAAAAATATACAATGCACTTTTCTACTCTGTTTTGGAGTATATACACCAACTCAATATGCTCTCTCATGTAAAATACCGAAATTTTATATTTACGCGAATCGAAAAAATCTAAATATTATCTAGGCACCCCAATGTTAAAAGCAAAATTGCTCTGAATATAATCTGTCAGAAAAAATATACAATGCCCTTTTCTACTCTGTTTTGGAGTATATACACCAACTCAATATGCTCTCTCATGTAAAATACCGAAATTCTAATTTTACGCGAATCGAAAAAATCTAAATATTATCTAGGCACCCCAATGTTAAAAGCAAAATTGCTCTGAATATAATCTGTCAGAAAAAATATACAATGCCCTTTTCTACTCTGTTTTGGAGTATATACACCAACTCAATATGCTCTCTCATGTAAAATACCGAAATTCTGATTTTACGCCAATCGAAAAAAATCTAAATAATATGTAAGAACCCCAATGTAAAAAGCTAAACTTCTCTGAATATAATCTGTCAGAAAAAGTATACAATGCTCTTTTCCACTCTGTTTTGGAGTATATACACCAACTCAATATGCTCTCTCATGTAAAATACTGAAATTCTAATTTTACGTGAATCTAACAAACTCTAAATATTACCTAGGCACAGCAATGTTAAAAGCAAAATTGCTCTGAATATAATCTGTCAGAAAAAATATACAATGCCCTATTCTACTCTGTTTTGGGGTATATACACCAACTCAATATGCTCTCACATGTAAAATACCGAAATTCTAATTTACACGAATCGAAAAAAATGTAAATATAATCTAGGCACCCCAATGTTAAAAGCAAAATTTCTCTGAATATAGTCTGTCAGAAAAAATATTCAATGCCCTTTTCTGCACTGTTTTGGATTATATACACCAACTCAATATGCTCTCTCATGTAGAATACCGAGATTCTAATTTTACGTGAATCGAAACAATCTAAATATTATCTAGGCACACCATTGTTAAAAGCAAAATTTCTCTGAATATAATCTGTCAGAAAAAATATACAATGCGCTATTCTACTTTGTTTTGGAGTATATACACCAAGTCAATATGCTCTCTCATGTAAAATACCGAAATTCTAATTTTACGCAAATCGAAAAAAATCTAAATATTATCTACGCACCCCAATGTTAACAGCAACATTGCTCTGAATATTATCTGTCAGAAAACATATAAAATGCGCTTTTCTACTCTGTTTTGGAGTATATACACCAACTCAATATGCTCTATTATTTAAAATATGGAAATTCTAAATTTACGCGAATCGTAAAAAATCTAAATATTATCTAGGCAACCCAATGTTAAAAGCAAATTTGCTCTGAATATGATCTGTCAGAAATAATATACAATGCCCTATTCTACTCTGTTTTGGAGTATATACACCAATTCAATATGCTCTCTTGTGTAAAATACTGAAATTCTTAATTTACGCTAATCGAAAAAAATCTAAATATTATCTAGGTACCCCAATGTTAAAAGCAAAATTGCTCTCAATATAATCTGTCAGAAAAAATATACAATGCCCTTTTCTACTGTGTTTTGGAGTGTATACACCAACTCAATATTCTCCCTCATGTAAATTACCCAAATCCTAACATTACTCTAAGTATCTCATAAAGTGCACAAGACCCCCTTGATGTTGTTTTTTATAACTAGGGGATTACAGATGACATTACTCACGATATGACTGCGGCTGTTTGCCGGTCCTGTGATAATGTTTCTAATATCCAGAGAAGGAGAGGGGAATGTTTCTGCCCATAGGCAAATCCTCTGAATACGGCAAGACGAGTACACCGTGCTGTGATATTTTCACTAATGTAAACAAGAAAACAATTATATTGAATTAAATATTGCAAGGTGTTAACCCCCCCTATAATTTTCCTTGTAATTTCAAGGGGTTGAGGAGGACATTTTTGTCAAAATGGCGGAGGTGTAACTTCAGCTATTGTCTACTATATAATAAAAAAGGATAAAATTATTATTTACATATGATATGATTGCCAGTATCATATTACACCACATTTTCAAAATATCTGGGCCCCAGCAGCTGTGGGCATGGCAGCCAAGCGAGGGTGTCCCTATGCAACCAGGTTGGGCATTGCAGCTGCTACGGGCCCTTTGTGATTTGTCTGGGGGCTGCTTCGGGCCCTCTGGCGGTGGCTGTGGTAACAGCCACATAGCCAGAGGGTCTCTCAGCATCCAGGGAGGGCCTGGCGGCTGCTACTGTCACTCTGGCAGGGGCTATGGGCACAGCCACCTAACCAGGGGGTCCCTACGTAGCCAGGGTGGGGCTGGAAGCTGCTATAGGCCCTTTGGCGGGAGGTGTGGGGATACCCTGCTCTTCACAGGTACACAGTTTGCACCTATTTCTACATGTGTAGATTGTTTACATAATGGGCACATATTTGTACACATGTACATATAATATTATCACAATAAACATATATGTACATAATATGTGTACAATAAATATGTACTTTATACGTACCTAATATAAACAATATGTACTTTTTGGTGATATTATGTGATATCTACATATTATTGATTATATATCTTATTGTGATAATATGTATGTTACCACTGAAATTTTTAGAAATGTACATAGAGTACACTTTATGTACCTATGCATTGTGTACACATTATAGAAATAAATAGGTACATATTTTACAGATTATGTACATTTTTTCTACATGTGTATTTTGTACACATATGTACAGCAGAGTAAATGTACAGACTATACCTATTTTATACATTTATTGTGATATGTCAATAAATGTACACATGAGTACATTCTGGGATATAATTTTTAGCATATTAGACAGGAATTACACCGGTGACCAAAGTGGGTTTACACCCAGGTGCGCACATAGTTTATACATGTACATGTTGTGCTTATTATGTACTCATGTACAGAATGTACATGTCTACATTATATATACATAGGTGTACGCAGCATACATAGGTACATACTGTGCACACATATGTACACGTGCATATATTGTACATCTGTACATAATGGGTACATGATGTACATGTGTACACATCATATCACAATAAATGTAAATATACATAATGTTTGCAATATGTACGTTTATATTATGTATTACGTTTATTGTGATTATATATGCTGTTGTGATATGATATCATTGTGACATTACAAATGTACATATTATACACATTATGTACCTATGCATTGTGCACAGATTATAGAAATAGAAAGAAACATATTTTACAGGTTATGTACATTTTATTTACTTGTGTATTGGGTACACAGAGTAAATGTACAGATCTTACTTACTTTATACATTTATTGTGATATGCCAATAAATGTACACATTATGAGTACATTCTGTGATATTACATTTAGAATATAAGATAGAAATTACTCTGGTTACCAAAGTGGGTGTAAACTTATGTGTGCACATATTTTGTACATGTACATACTGTGCATATTATGTACTTGTGTACAGAAGGTAAATATCTACATTATATGTATGTATGGGTACAGAGCGTACATATGTACATACTATGTACATATATCTACACCTGAATTTATTGTACATCCGTACATAATGGGTCCATGCTGTACATGTAAACACATCGTCATACCACAATAAATGGAAATGTACATAATGTGTGAAATACGTACATTTATATTATGTATTACATGTGTATTGTGATTGTATATGCTGTTCTGATATCATTGTGATATTACAAATGTACATATTGTACACATTATGGACATACCTATTGTGTACATATTATGTACACATAAATGTACATATTGTACAGATTATGTATATTTATTGTACATCTGTATGGTGCACACATATGTACATCACAGTCAACGTACATATGGTACATATTCTGTGCATTGTTTGTAATATTTCAGTAAGAGTACACATTATAAGTATATTCTGGGATATGATTTTTAGTATGTTAGATAAAAATTACTTTCAATATCAAAGTGGGTATACACTTATGTGTGTCCATTTTGTGATATTATCCATCATATCCTGAGTAGGTATTTCTCTCATTGTGAAAGCAGGTTTACACTCTCGGATTGCTCCAATATCAAGGCAAACTAAAACTCGTCTGTGATGTAGTTAATAATATCCTGAGGACAAAGGATGACCATACCCTGAATATCGCAGGAAGTGTACACCACCACTGTAGTATTGTTTCTAATGTTCAAAAACGGAAAGGATATTACTCCAAATATCTCAGAAAGCACACAAGCCCCCCGTGATATTGTTTCTAATAACTAGAGAATTACAGATGACATTACCCACGACGTGACTGGGGCTGTACTCTGGTCCTGGAATATTGTTCCTAATATCCAGAGAAGGAGAGGAAAATGTTGCTGCCCATAGGGAAATACTCTTAATACGGCAAGAGGTGTACACCATGCTTTGATATGGTCACTAATGTAAGCGAGAAAACAATTACATTGAATTAAGCATTGCAAGGAATGAAACTCCCCTATGATTTTCATTCTAATGTCAATGGGGGTGAGGATGACATTTTTGTCAATATGGCAGAGGTGTAACTGGAGCTATTGCCTAATATACAAAAAAACAGAATAAGATTATCATTTTTATATAATATGGTTGCCAGTATCATATTACACCGGATTTGCAAAATAGCTGGGCCTCAGCAGCTGTGGGCAGAGCCCACAAGCGAGGGGACCCCTAAGCAGCCAGGGTGGGCCTGGGGGCTGCTCTGGGCTTTTTGGTGGGGTCTGTGAGCACATCGACCCAGCCAGGGGTCCCTGAGCAGCCATGGTTGGCCTGGGGGCCGCTACGGGCACTCTGGCATGGGCTGTGGGCACAGACACCTAGTCAGGGGGTCCCTAAGCAGCCAGGGTGGGCATGGGGGCTGCTACAGGCATTCGAGCAGTGTTTGTGGGCACAGCCCAATTGCCAGGGGGTCTCTAAGCAGCCAGGCTGGGCCTGGGGGCTGCTATAAGGGGGGCTTTGGTAATAGCGTGCTGTGCATCGGTACATAGTTTGCACCTATTACTACATGTGTAAATAGTTTTAATATCGGGCATATATATGTACATGCGTACATATGGAGTTATCACGATAAATTTATATTTACATAATATGTGCAAAATACATATGTACCTAATGCATACCTAATGTGTACAATATGTACTTTTTTGTAATATTAGACAATATATATTACTGTGATTATATATCTTATTGTGATTAAATATATTTTATCACTAATATTTTAAGGAATGTGCATAGTGTACACATTATATACCTATGTATTGTGTACACAATATAGAAATATATAGGTACATATTTTACAGATTATGTACACTTTTTCTACATGTGTATTGTGTACACCTATGCACAGCAGAGTAAATGTACAGACTGTACCTATTTTATACATTTCTTGTGATATGCCAATAAATGTACACATTATGAGTACATTCTAAAATATAATTTTTACCATATTAGAAATTACTCCATTGACCAAAGTGGGTGTACACCCAGGTGTGTACATAGTTTATACGTGTACATATTGTGCATATTAGGTACTCATGTACAAAATGTACATGTCAACATTATATGTATTTATGTGTACATAGTGTGCACATGCACATACTGTTCACACATATGTACATGTGCATATTTTGTACATGTGTACATAATGGGTACATGATGTGCATGTGTACACACCGTGATACCACAATAAATGTAAATGTACACGATGTGTGCAATATGTACATTTATATTATGTATTACTTGTGTATTGTGATTTTATATGCTGTTGTGATATGATATCATTGTAATATTACAATAAATGTACATATTGCACACATTTCGTACATACCTATTGTGTACACATTATGTACCTGTAATTGCACATATTGTACAGATTATGTACGTTTTTGGTACATCTGTATTGTGTACACATATGTACATAACACTCTATGTACATATGGTATGTATTCTGCACATTGATTGTAACATCTCAATAAGTGTACACATTATGAGTATATTGTGATATATGATTTTTAGTATATTAGATAAAAATTTCTTTCTATATCAAAGTGGGTATACACCCATGTGTGTCCATTTTTTGATATTATCCATCATATTTTAAGTAGGTATTACTCTCATTTTGAAAGCAAGTGTTCACTCTGTGATTGTTCCAATATCACAGGCAAAGTACAAGGCTTCTTTAATGTACTACCTAATATCCTGGGGACAAAAGATTATTATACCCTGAATATCGCAGGAAGTGTACACCACCACTGTAGTATCGTGTCTAATATCCAAAAACGGAAAAGATATTACTCCAAGTATCTGATAAAGCACACAAGACCCCCGTGATATTTTTTCTAATAACTAAGGGATTACAGATGACATTACTCACGATATGACTGGGGCTGTCCGCCGGTCCTGTGATATTGTTCCTAATATCCAGAGAACGAGAGAATAATGTTGCTGCCCATAGGCAAATCCTCTGAATACGGCAAGAGGAGTACACTGTGCTCTGATATGGTCACTAATGTAAACAAGAAAACAATTATATTGAATTTAACATTGCAAGGGGTGAAACCCCCTTATGATTTCAATTCTAATGTCCAGGGGTGTGAGGATGACATTTCTGTCAATATGGCAGAGGTGTAACTAGAACTATTGCCTAGTATATCAAAAACCAGAATAACATCATTTCCATATGATATGGTCGCCAGCATCATATTACACCACATTTTCAAAATAGCCGGGCACAGCGCCCTAGCCAGGGGGTCCCTAAGCAGCCAGCGTCAGCCTGGGAGCTGTTACGGGCCCTCTGGCGGGGAATGTGGTTACAGCTCCCTAGCCAGGGGGTCTTTAAGCAGCCAGGGTGGGCCTTGGGGCTGCTACGAGGGGGGCTGTGGTAATAGCCTGTTCTGCACAGGTACATAGTTTTAATAATGAACACATATTTGTATAAGTGTACACATGGTGTTATGATAAATATATATGTACATATGTGCACAATACATATAGACCTAATGCGTACCTACTGTGAACAATATGTACTTTTTTGTGATATTACATGATATATATATATTACTGTGATTATATGCGTTATTTTGATTATATATATTTTATCACTGATATTTTAAGGAATGTGCATAGTGTACACATTATGTACCTATACATTGTTTACACATTATAGAAATATGTAGGTACATATTTTACAGAGTATGTACATTTTTTGTACATGTGCATTGTGTACACATATGTACAGCAGGGTAAATGTACAGATTGTACCTATTTTATACATTTATTGCACTATGCCAATAAATGTACACACTATTACTACATTCTGAATTATTATATTTTGTATATTAGATAGAAATTTCTCTGGTTACCAAAGTGGTTGTACACCCAGGTGTGTACATAGTTTATATGCGTACATATTGTGCATAGAATGTACTCGGGTACAGAAGGTACATATCTACATTATATGTACACATGTGTAGTGTACATATGTACATACTGTACCCACATATGTACACTTGCATATATTGTGCATCTGTACATAATGGGTACATGATGTACATGTTTACATATCATATCACAATAAATGTAAATGTACATGTTTGCAATATGTACATTTATATTGATATTACATATTACATGTGTATTGTGATTTTATATGCAGTTGTGATTATATAACATTGTGATATTACAATAAATGTACATATTGTACACATTATGTGCATACCTATTGTGTGCACATTTTGTACATATATTCGTACAAATGATAGTTTATGTACATTTATTGTACATCTGTATTGTGTACATGTATGTACATCACAGTCAATGTACATATGTTACATATTCTGTACATTGAGTGTAATATCCCAATAAGTGTACACATTATGAGTTTTTTCTGGGTTATGACATTTAGTATATTAGATAAAAATGACTTCCAATATCACAGTGGGTATATACCCATGTGTGTCCATTTTGTGATATTATCCATCATATCCTAAGTAGGTATTTCTCTCACAATGAAAGAAGGTGTACACTCTGTGATTGTTCCAATATTATAGGCAAAGTGCAACGCTTCTGCGATGTAGTTCCTAATATCCCAGGGACAGAGGATGAGTATACTCTTAATATCGCAGGAAGTGTACACCACCACTGTAGTATTGTTTCTAATATCCAGAAACTAAAAGGATATTACTCCAAATATCTCCAAAAGCACACAAGACCCCCGTTACATTGTTCTTAATAACTAGGGGATTACAGATGACATTGCTCACGATGTGACTGGCGCTGTAAGCCGGTCCTGTGATATTCTTCCTAATATCCAGATAAGGAGAGAAAAATGTTGCTGCCCATAGAGAAATATTCTGAATACTGCAAGAGATGTACACCGTGCTCTGATATGGTCACTAATGTAAACAAGAAAACAATTATATTGAATTAAACATTGCAAGGGGTGAAACCCTCCTATGCTTTCAATTCTAATGTCAATGGGGTGAGGATGACATTTTTGTCAATATGCCAAATGTGTAACTAGAACTATTGCCTAATATGTAAAGAACCACAATAACATTATCATTTCTGTGTGATATGGTTGCCAGTATCATATTACACCACATTTTCAAAATAGCCGGGCCCCAGCAGCTGTGGGCACAGCGCCCTAGGCAGGGGGTCCCTAAGCAGCCAGCGTGGGCCTGGTAGCTGTTATGGGCCCTCTGGCGGGGGCTGTGGGTACAGCCCCCTAGCCGGGGGTCTTTAAGCAGCCAGGGTGGGCATTGAGGCTGCTACGAGCAGAACTGTAGTAATAGCCTGCTGTGCATAGGTATGTAGTTTGCACCTATTTCTGCATGTGTACATTGTTTAAATAGTAGGCACATATTTGTATACGTGTACATACGGTGTTATCATGATACATATATATTTTCATAATATGTGCACTATACATATGTACCTAATACATACCTAATGTGTACAATACGTACTTTTTGGTGATATTACACGACATATATGTATTAGTGTGATTATATATCTTACTGTGATTATATATATTTTATCACTGATATTTTAAGGAATGTGCATAGTGTACACATTATGTACCTATGCATTGTGTACACATTATAGAAATATATAGGTACATATTTTACAGATTATGTACATTTTTGTACATGTGCATTGTGTACACCTATGTACAGCAGAGTACATGTACAGATTGTGCCTATTTAATACATTTATCACAATACGACAATAAATGTACACACTATGACTACATTCTGGGATTTTATATTTAGTATATTAGATAGAAATCTCTCCGGTTACCAAAGTGGGTATACACCTATATGTGTACCTAGTATATACGTGTATATATTGTACATACTGTGTACTCCTGTACAGAAGGTACATATCTACATTATATGAACATATGTGTAGTGTACATATGTACATACTGTGCACACTTATGTACACGTGTATATACCGCAAATCTGCACGTGTGCATGATGTACATGTGTACATATCATATCACAATAAATGTAAATGTATATAATGTGTGCAATATGTACATTTATATTGATATTATGTATTATATGTGTATTGTGATTATATATGCTGTTGTGATTATATGAAATCATTGTAATATTACAATATATTTACATATTGTACACATTATGTACATACCTACTGTGTACACATTATGTACATATAAATGTACATATTGTACAGATTATGTACATTTTTTGTACATCTGTATTGTGTACACATATGTACATCACAGTCAATGTACATATGGTACATATTTTGTACGTTGATTGTAATATCCCAATAAGTGTACACATTATGAGTATATTCTGGGATATGATTTATAGTATATAAGAAAAAAGTTACTTCCAATATCAATGTGGGTATACTCGCATGTGTGTCCATTTTGCTGTACCTTCTATTAATCTTTGCCATTGAACATGATAGTGAGAGGTGGTTCTTTTCTCTAACAAGGTTTTCTGTTAATATAACTCAACTCTACTACCTTGTGGCCTCTGTATCTTCCATTGTAAATTGTAATTACCTATAAAAGAGAATATTTTGACATCACGCATCTACCTCTTGGATCCATCAGCCAGAGGCCTAAAATAAAAAAGACATTCACCCCACGAATGGTTATATAGTGGTTGACAACCCCACTTTCTTCTAGGTAAATAGTATCCTCTCTTTAACAGTAGCTACTTACAAGATTTGTGCATAAAGAATGTGACTTTTTTATCAGTATCTAGTTTATTCTTACATAAATTTCTAAAATACTGAGAGAATATTCTGATCATTGGTTATGTACTATTTTAATTTAATTTTTTCCTCTCAAATTTTATCTTAACTGCATACTCTACCCTGTTTATAAGACTGTCCTATGGTTAAATTTAGTAGGTAGTAAATTATCCTGAGCACACAGAACAATTCTTTTTGTAATCAACTCTGAAACATCATTGAAAGAGCAAGGATATGGGAATGAGATTTATCTGGCTTTTATTTCTGGTACTTACTTGCTCTCTGACCTTGGGCAACTTATGTATTGCTCTGAGTCTCATCTTCTTCATCTGTAAAATGATCATAGTAATACCTAATTCATATGCAGCTTGGAAATGTGTAATTTAGTGATTGATATAAAGTTCCTGATACAATTTCTGACAAAATAATAGACACCCCACGAGAGATAGCCATAACAATCAGAGTTTATATTCACATTAACTGGGATAAAATTGATCTGAAAATACAGCATAAAAAAGCAGCCAAAAATTCACAAGCATATATTTCGCTTGCCTTTTTATACAGAGCTGGAAAATTTCTCATCATTATCTCATCCATTGCCTGCAGCACGATCCTTCCAAAACTCCTCCTAAGACCGTCTGCCAAGGTGGAACACACTGAACCGCATGTGACTCTGCCTTTTCTGACTATTTTTGCAAGATTTTTCTCATAGAGTATTATTAACAGAAAATGGGGCTGTTATCAAGGTGACTAGGAATGGTGCATTCTCAGTTCAGGCTCTGATGGAATGTCTACTTGATCTGGTGCAACTCCAGCTGTGCTCTTGGCTTTCCTCACTTTTGTGGTTCCGAGAATGCAAATATTCTCCCATGGCTTCCTTATTTTGTCTTTCTCCATGAGGTCTCATTCAAGTATAAACATTCCCTTCAATTTTCTCAACTCATTTTATATTGTCTGAATAACCTTGATAATTTTCCCTTTCCTAAAGCTATAGACCTTCTTTTTGTGTGTAAGAACAGATTACTCACAAATGTTTACTGTCCGCTAAACATTTATGTGTAATCGGTCCTTAATTCTACACACAAAATATCATCTCTACCAACATTTTACAACTATAGTCTTTCTATAGAGAACTATGAAAGGAACTTGCTCTAAAGGAGAAACTTCCAGAGCTAAACCAAGGGTCTGACAATTGTTAACAATATGTTATTCAGTAAAAATATTTTTTCAGTTAACAGAGAAGAATGCCATGGACAAAATGGCAAAACAGAACTTTTCAGCACTTATTCCTTCACAGAAACATCAATTTGAACAGCCATCCGTGCATCAAAGTGTCTTCAAAAGAGACAAGGAATCCAGGTGAGAGGTTATAGCACGTTTGTGGAGTAGAAAAGTAAGAAAAACGGCATAAAATAGAGTATAAAAGAGAGTTTTCTATTATCTGCATTACCCCGCCCCTAAACCTGGGTAGTGCAGCATGGAAAGAGATACTATGTATGTGCAGAGAGGAGAGTAAATGTAACACCTGACTTCAACATCAACTCCAATGCCAGGCACAATTCAGTGAACTCAACACCAGGCAGGTTTCTATAGCCACAGGCTATGGGACAGACCCTGTCAACCCAAGCTCCAGGCCTTCCCCTATGGCTCTAAGATCTAATGCCTCCAACCTCCATGGCTCCTATCGACATAGGCTCCAGGCCTTCGCCACAACCAGGCCATTTATGGCTTCCCCAGGCTCCACACTGGTTACTATAGACTCGTAAGTGCCTGGATAAACAAACCTCTACATCGACACAGTGGAATATTATTCAGCAATGAAAGCAATAATCTTTGAATGTGGCTTTTGTTGCAGAAAAAAAGCACGTGAGCTATGAAGCCATTAAAAGACATAGAGGAAACTCAAATACATACTACTAAGTGAAAGAAACCAATCTCAAATGACCACTTACTATATGAATCCAACTATATGACATTCTGGAAAAGGCAAAACTATAGAGACATCAAAACGTTCAGTGATTGCTGGGGGTTGAAAAGTGGGGAAGGATAAATGGGCAGAGCATAGAGGATGTTTAGGGCAATGAAACTACTCTGTGTGTTACTATAATGGTAGACACATGCCATTACACCCTTGTCAAAACTCACTGAATATACGACAGCAAGAATGGTCCCTAATGTCAATTATAAACTATGGGTGACAGTGATAAGTCAATGTTGGTTCATCCATTGTAACAAATGTACCTCTCTAGTGAGGAAGGCTGATAGTGGAGGAGGCTGTGCATTTGGGGAGGTGGGAATGTAGGAACTCTCTGTACTTTCCACTATGCCTCACTATTAACTTTACACTGCCCTAAAAATAAAGCGTATTTGAAAAAAGATTGAGCTGTTGATATAAGCCCAATGTCTACTTTGACGTCCAGAAATGTTTCTTTTAAAACGCTAATACACCACTTCCTGGAAGAAAATATTTGTTAACAAATTCTTTTCTAGAACAATTATTTTTGTGGGTGTTCCTGTCACAACTATACATAAAAATCAGAATATGCAGCAACATCTTGATACTCTAAAAACACAATACCAAAAACGTTAAGAAAATCATTTCTAAATTTGATCTAAGCCAAAATGTGGAGAAGCAAAAGGGAAGAAAATTATTTCTGTATAATGAGATTATAGGTTGTTTCTCCGAACTCCTCTACAGTTTTCAGTATTTTCCAACTTCTATCATGGAGATATATAAATATAGAAGTAGATATGTAGATATATAGTCATTAGATATATATTTATATATAATAAATAAACAGATACCATTTTTATTATTTATTTATTTATTTATTTTTTGAGACGGAGTTTCGCTCTTGTTTCCCAGGCTGGAGTGCAATGGCGCGATCTTGGCTCACCGCAACCTCCGCCTCCTGGGTTCAGGCAATTCTCCTGCCTCAGCCTCCTGAGTAGCTGGGATTACAGGCACGCGCCACCAAGCCCAGCTAATTTTTTGTATTTTTAGTAGAGACGGGGTTTCACCATGTTGACCAGGATGGTCTCGATCTCTTGACCTCGTGATCCACCCGCCTCGGCCTCCCAAAGTGCTGGGATTACAGGCTTGAGCCACCGCGCCCGGCCTACAGATACCATTTTTAAAAGATATATTTATGTATTTTATATATTTATATAATATATACATGTTCATATATACATCATGTTATCACCATTATGGATATAAAGAAGGACATTAAAATAGTGAAAAGATTAAAATAAAATGTACCAAAATGGAAACAGTGATTTAACTCTGCCTAGCTTTATGTGATTAAACAAGGTATTTTTCAAATCTATTTTTCTTTGCTTTCTAGAGGCTTTATAATAAATCTATATTTTTATATTTAAAAGCCTAATTTTTATTAAACAAATAAAAATTCAGCAACACTGTCTTTAGAACATTTTTTAAATCAACTTGAGCATGAAGAAAATGTTATGACTATGGTGGTGAGCATTTTGAAAGATTAGCAGAAGCAGGGATAATGTGACATTTAGCTGATCTTTCAAGGGAAGCTAGACAAATGACACTTTTCGAAAAGAAAATAGTCACTAGTGTTGAAACATGGTATTGCCAGTATGATTAAGAAGGAAAGTGTCAACTTCTTCTGTGGAAAATCCTAACATTACCAAACGTAAGAAGGCAAATACTTCAACAACAGAAATGAAAAAGATCTTGATTCATTTATTTAACACTTTTTTAGAGTTTAATCCCAAAAAGTCTATTTTGAAGAAAAGAAAAAATCTTACTCGTGTATATTACCCTTTGCAGTGAACTGGCCAAATAAGTCTATCCAAGGTACGTTGAATACCGAGCATGCTGGAAACATTTTTATTGACATCATCTCTAATCCCTACAACAATAGTGCAAGGAAAGGTTTAACATCTTCTTTTTACAGAGAGGAAAGCTGAGGCTCAAAGAGGTATAGTAGCTCATTTAACATTACACATCTAATACGTGGTGGAGGTGGGACCTATACTTACATCTGTCAGACCTTAAAGTCTGTGTTCTTCTTTCTACCTCTCTGCCTCAGTCCAACAATTGGGATCTTTGCCATGATGCCTCACGAGTTCACGAGGCACTTTTCAGGAAGTTTTTGACTCAGACTTTATCACTCAGCAAGATACCTCAACTAATTTACAAAATGTGACTTGAAAAGCAGGTTGTAATTCCAAAAGCAAAAATCCAACCACAAAAGATAAAGTCTTAATCAGTAGAGCTTTACAGAAGGAAGTAATGTAGGTAGTAAGGGCACTTTCGGAAATGTCTGGAATTAGAGGAGTCGATGTATCACCTGTTAGAAATTGTACTCGCTTGGTAGCAAAATTTTCCTTGTGTTCACTTAAAATAATAGTCTTGTTGTTTTAAAACCAACGCACAGTCAGAGGGTGACTTGGATGTTTATTTTTTATTCTCTTTGCCTTCTTGTTTTAAGAATGGATTTTTCCTAAATTCTAATTATTATTGTAACTTACATAAGTGCAGCCGATTTTGCTTTTAAGGATAAAACTACATTTAAGTAGCTTTGTCTGGATTATCAAAACCAGGCCCTGAAGAAGTGAGTTCCTAAAGGGTAGGAACTTTGCTTATGTCTATATCTCAGTTGTGTTAAACAGAATAACTGGCGCAAATTAGCAAATGATGCACTGAGGAATCATAGAACAAAAGACTTTATGAAGAACTAAGTTTCAGATTCAGGGTGACGCTAAGGAGCTAGTGTACCAGAGGATGGTATGCCTTCTGCAATCACAAAAGCAGCATTCAGTCTGATCTGGGCTCTAAGAAGTGCTCCTTGAGACCTGAAATTTTATCCTAACACTGCCACTAACAGGTTAAGTCAGAAAGAGTTCACTTCCCAGAGCTTTCGATTTCTGGTTTCCAAATCAGCACAATGAGAAACTGAAAAGAAGGAAAGAGGAAAAAAAGAGAGGGTCAGAGATCCCTCCTGCTTGTACAATGCCATGATTTGGACACAGGGTTTGGGCAACCATGGCCCATCCACCAATTCCTGCCTGTCGTCTCTTGTCAGACAGCTCATGAGCCACGAATGTGAAAGAATTCAAAAAAGTAACAATATTTGGGACATGTCAACAATTATATAAAATGCAATTTTCAGTTCTCATAAAAGTACTTTGGAACTCAGCCCCACTCCTTTATTACCCATTTCTATGGCTGCTTTCACACCACAACCACAGAGATAAGTAGCTGTGACAGAGACCATATGGGCTGCCAAGCCTAAAATATTTACTGCCTAGACCTTTCCAGAAAAAAAAAAAGGATTGCTGATCTTTTACACAGACAATCAAGCAAGCGATCACCTGAGAACATTAAAATCTGTGTCTAGGACAAATGGGGCCTATATAAACTAGGGAATAATCTTCCCCACTACTTATGCAAGAACATTCACCCTTGAGAGAGCAGGCTACATGGCTTGGCAGCACTACTGCCACCAGTCCAGACTTCCCCTCACCTGTGCCCTATAAGTGACCAGCATTTCTAGGCATCCGTGGAGCAGCGGGGTGCATTCTCATGGCTGGCCCCACACCTTCCCTTCCTCCTGCTTCCTCACATTCTATTTTCTGAGTGGTTGTCAAAGGAACGCTGAATTTTGCTGTCACTTTTTCAGACCCCAATTCCACTTATGACAGTCTTGGTACCAGGAAGCATTCCAAGCTCCTATCTCATCACCACAACCGCCTGCTTCTCACTTAGTCCAGACGAGCTTGCCACAGTGCACTTGCTTTTTAATCGCTCTCTCTCTTCTTGCCTTCACCTCCTCTCCCTCCCTCTCTCCCTGGCTCTTTCTGTCACACGGGTGTGTGCACATACACAAGTTCCGATTAGATAAAAGAAGAAACACTTTTTAAGTTTCTTTCTAGGCCTAATAGAAAATTCTTTTTTTTTTTTTTTTTTACAAAAACAGAGCTGTTTTTTTCCATTGCAAAAGTGTGGGTGTCCTTCCTTTTGGAGAGTAACAATCATTTTCTACATGGCCTTCTGACACATTGCATGTTGTACATATGTGTGTGTGCACATGTGCATATGAGTGTTAGAGTATGTGTGTGTAGCAGGGAGGAAAGAGATGAAGGAGAGTGTGTATGTGCATGTTGGTTCATATGAGTGTGAGTGTGTGCATGCACGTGCCTGTGTGTGTGCACATGTGTATGAGCATGCTTGTATTTGCGTATGAGAATGTGCATGTGAGAGAGAAAGAAAGAATGCGTGTATGTGTGAATGTGTATGTGTGTGTATAGCAGGGAAGAAGGGGATGAAGGAGAGTATGCTAAAAAGAGAACACCTCAGAACAGTCCAATAAAAGATTCCATATCAACATCATATCTTGTTAAAATACAGGATTCCCAAGTCAGTCACCTTCAAGCTGGAAGCCTGGAGTGTAAAAAGAGTGGGTGTTCTTCTCTGACAACTTATTGTCTAAGACAATTTTATGATCAAAAATATATTCGAATAAAAGTACCTGAGAAAAGTACATAAAGAGAATATAGCAAAATGTTAACAATGGTTTTCTTTGGGTGAGAGGAAGAAGAGCAGGTTGTGGTTGATCTGTTTCTTTTAGTTCAACTATTCTGCATTCCTCACTTTTAAATTTTGGATATTAAGCTGGAGAGAAAGAACATGAATATAAAGATGAATTCGCTGAATGGAGCAACGAATGCTGAGTTAGCCAAAAATGTATGGCTACCTTCTATATCTAATTATCTGAGGGCAAATCAGAAAACACCACTTTCAGAAAATTTTTTTTTTTTTTAGAAATGAAGTTTCGCTCTTGTTGCCCAAGCTGGAGTGCAATGGCACAATCTCGGCTCACCGCAGCCTCCGCCTTTTGGGTTCAGGCAATTCTCCTTCCTCAGCCTCCCGAGTAGCTGGGATTACAGGCACGCACCACCATGCCCAGCTAATTTTTTGTATTTTTAGCAGAGACAGGGTTTCACAATGTTGACCAGGATGGTCTCGATCTCTTGATCTTGTGATCCACCCACCTCGGCCTCCCAAAGTGCTGGGATTACAGGCTTGAGCCACCGCGCCCAGCCAGAAATTTTTTAAAATGTGTTTTACGTTATTTTCCCTTTCAGCCTAAGGACTAAAAATTGAACACAACTGGATCTGCGCCATTGCCTCAAAGATTCTTAGCCTAGTTCCAGATCCATTGTCTGGACACTCCTGCTTTTTAGACAGAAAACAGGGCTAAATTCCTATTGACTTCCAAATACACAGACCCACAGATTTGTCACAGTAGCCTCTCTCTCTCACCCTGTCTCTGTCCGTCTGAGTCTCTCTTTCTTTCTCTCTCTCTTCCCTCACATCATCCCCAAATCAGAATGCATATATAAAAATTTGATTAACTGAAACATAGAATGATCAAGATTTTACTACAAGAGAAATACACAGACTTCAGCTAAGATGTTTGGTTGAATACCTGCATATGCCTTCACTCCATCATTAAACCACATTAACACGGGATGATTAAAAATAAATAAACCAACAAAGATAAAAAGAAAATAAAGACAATCCCTTCAGCATATAGAAAACTGGCAAGCAGAAGCTGTCAGTGACACCTGACAGTAGACCCAGAGATGCTAAATCCCAAGCCAGTGGCAGGAAGGCAACCAGGATCCCCAAGGGTTCAAGAGTTGGCAGCTAAATTTACCTAGGGAATTTATGTTTCAGTAGTAGGTAGATCCCAGATC